TTTTTTTTTTTTTTAAACAACGCCCGCCGGTGTTAGTGCTGCTGATAAGAGCAGACACCACTACCACCAGGAGGGAGGCTCCATCTATTGGTGGGGAGCGTCACCTGCTGGAAAACGGGTCCAGCRTCCSATGTACAGAAATTGAGACTATCAAAGAACAAAGAGAGCGGTAACMGTGAGATCTGCCAGCATTGATTGCCCTGCTACCCAGGGGATTGACTGAGCAGTCCTAAATAGTATCCTCTTCACCCTCAARAGGGTGCCTGATAAAYCAATCAAGACCTGGAACTATTTAGCATCCCTTCTATTGCCCCTAATCATCCCAAGGACCTGAGGACAACCTACCAGCATTGAAAATCTCGGGCTACCCCGTATACAGCTCCCCCCAGTAATCTGCACAGTCCATTCCATACCACGTCCTATCCACTAGTCAGTTGGATGGGGGGGGTGAAGAAGTCTGGAAAATGTTCCGGAGGTTTCGGGGCGTCCATTCTGGTCCATTCATGGAACTGCAGGTGGTAGTCTCAGTCCTAAATAGTATCCTCTTGACCCTCAAAAGTTTGTGATCCCTCCTCTTTCTCACTTAATTGATTTTTTTTGGCCACAGTGCCTGCTTTCAGACTCTATATATTTTGAGTGAGAGGCAAGTATGCAGACAGCCACACTTAGTCGGCCCCCTGGATGTATCTGATCGGAATTACCGCCTCGCTGGGACGCATCTGACCCCAACTACGGCCAGAGCTGACTCGAATGTCCTCGTGTGAGAAGGGGGAGCAAATCACACACCTTTTTTCTTCTTAAAAGAAAATCGAATTATAAAACCGGGAAGCGGGCCCGGTGCGGCGTCACTCACATGAATTCCGTAGCCAAACCAGGCTGGGAGAGGCACTTCCGGCCAGTCCCATCCCCAACCACGGACCTCCAACAGTGAAGACGCCTGTCTTCAGCCCATCCCGTGCGGATCTCCAGTTGCCAAAAAGGACGAAAAGTTTTTGAGAAGCTATGCCATTCAATTACCCCAGTCTATGTTTATAGTACTTTATAGTAACCTAGAATTTAATCCTATTCTTATGTATCTAGTTGCTAAAGGACGAAAAGTTTTGAGAAGCTACGCCATTCAATTACCCTAGTCTATGTTTATACTAACCTAAAATTTAATCCTATTCTAATGTACCGATTAACTCTATACTATCAACATGCAAAAACAGCCACACAAATTCCTCACCTATACCGATGCAATTACCGTAATCATCCCTAACCCTAAATTATCTACAAAGCAGAAACCGTAATCATCACTAATACACACCTTTTTTTGTGACGTGTCATTCCAAACTTTAAGGCACAGTCGAAATGGGAAAAAAAAAATAAAAAAATTACGATACTTCATTCATTCTGAATCGGCTCTTTTTTTCTCTTGTTTTTGGGGGGGGATC